CTGCTGAACCGGAGCTTGTGCCATGGTTCTTGTCTAAGAAGAAGAAAACCCATACCATTTTCTGTTCTTCCCCGTGTATTTTTTCCCCTTTTGTGCTGACAAAATCTGATACAACACCAGAACTGAACTCCAAATGTTCTTTCTCAATTTATGATATGTGAATACTTTACATGCTCCAAATGATCTCCTCTCATTTCAGGTTGTTCTTTGACCTGTCTGCTCTCTCTTTTTTTTTCCTTTTCCTGATGATAATGCATCCAATGTATTGGGAAAATATCCGAGTTTGGCGCTCCTCCCCTGCTCTGCTGTTTGACACTGGTGATCATCAACTATATATCTTGATTATATCTAAATTCAGTTGTCTTTCTTTTACTTTTTGTCTTCTGCAATGTTGGTCGGTATTAATGCTGATAAAGACAATGTCTTTCATTCACACACACACTCCCTCTGTCTCTCTCCTTTACTTTTGTTATTATGGCTAGGGCTGGACATTTAAACCGTTAACCGCAGGTATACGAGTATTCGGTTTCGTGGGTATCCGAACAACGGATACTAGACACCTAACGAAGACGAAAACGAGGATTAAAAAGTGGAATACCTATCATACGGGTTCAGATTCAGGTTTTTGAAATAACGGGTACCCGCGTATATATTAAAATTATAAAATTACCTTTATATTCTTAATATAATTACCAAAATACTTAGGTTATTTCTACTTTTCTTGAGGATTATATATTGGATTTTTAAGTTTTGATGAATTTAACTTCAAATCACTATGTATTTTAGAATTTTTTTTTAGGATTCTACGTATATTGTTATATTTTAAGAATTTTTAAACTTATAAATGTGTTTTTGTACCAAAATATGTATATTTTTTTGTTGATTATTTGGTTTAATTCTACATTGATTAATGTTTTATATATGGGTACGGATATTCGCGGCTATCCGTCTTTTAGTTATAGGTACGCATTAGATGGGTATGCGGATGTTGTGAGATACAAACGGAGATAGTATTTCTCTAAAACCGACAAAGACGAAAATAAAGACGGATATCTCCAAAAAATGCGGATATCCGATCTGTGCCCAAACTTATTTATGGCATTCTCAGTAATGAATGTAAAGGGGAAGTTGTCCAGAATTCTAGTGGAAATTTAGAAGAAGAATACATTTTTTTTTATTTTCTCAGTTGATTTGAATTTGATTGCTTGGAGTTTGGACCAAGAAATCGACCAGAATTAACCTGGAAACTCACCTCTTTGGAAAATCGAGGGAGTAGCTTGACTCTCTCTTGTCATGTATTGAACCTTTCTCTCCCATGTTTCTGAGCATTTTCGCATGAATTTCGCCAATCTTTAACACCACCTTCTTTTCTTTTCTTTTTTTTTTTTTTTTTGCTTTCCTGGTCACCATCTCCCATTTTGTTTTTTTTCACAAAAAATAAAAAAAAATAAACTCCCCGCATATTATTATTTATTAAATTACATCATGATGTATGAATGACGCGCCTCCTGGCTTCAACTTGATATTTTCTGGACGATGAAGATGTAATAAAATACTATGGTGGTCATTGTCTAAGCACTGACACACAACGAGTCAGCCGTACACATATATAAACCTAAGTTTTGTCTGTTTCTAAAACCCACGTGGTTCATGATGGGATGGGAGAGTTGGGTGCTCCATTCCTAAATAATTGAACCGCTTAGGTTCCATCCGTCTTTGCTTTTAATAGATATAATTACGTTTTACAAGTAAAAATCACGAAATTATTTTTTAATAATGGCCTTAAAAACAGTTGCATAAATTAAATGGATTAATTTAACCCAAACCCAATATTGATCGTGAAATTTAAATGAAATGGTATAAAAAGGAATTTTTATTTTTATTTTTTATTTTTAAAAAAATACTGCACGTGGTCGAGGAGTTTATATAGTTGGCGACGTCTTCCCAAAATTATTTGTAAACAAAGAGACCTCAAGCCTCAAGGCGCCAAATAAGCTTCTCACACCTCTTTCTCCCATCAATCAGACCATCGAAATGCTACTCAGAACCAATAACCTCTCTCTCCCCTCTCTCTCTCCACTTCACAACCCTAATCCCTCGCGATTTCACCACACTCTGATCCGATTCCGAGGAGCCTCGCCGCCGCGAAGTCTCAGTGCGGCCGCGCCGATATTGAGGCGGAATCCGGCGGATCTCCGGAAAATTTGCGTAGAGAGATTGGTGAGAGCGTGTGTCAGTATTGGACAGGAAAACGATGGCGGGTTGGTGGAGGAAGAGAGAGAGGAGAGAGAAAGCATATGGGAGCAGATGAAGGAGATCGTGACGTTTACAGGTCCGGCGGCGGGACTGTGGATCTGTGGGCCTTTGATGAGTCTTATCGACACCATCGTCATTGGCCAAGGCAGTTCCGTTGAACTCGCCGCTTTAGGTACGTTCTTTCTCTGTATGTATACAGCAAATATCTGTTTGGTCAACGGGAAAGTCTGGGAAGACAAAAAGAGCAGCATTTTCTTCTTCTTTCGCTTGCTAGGAGAAATCGGATTTTGAAATGGTTTTTTCATTCTTCTATTGATATTCAGGTAATTCCTGTATGCAGATCACTCAGAAAAGAGATTCTTCTCTAGTCAATTCTATTACTATATGGAAAGGGTCTCTAAAATGATGTTTTCCCCGTTGGTTACGTGTTGAATTTGTTTCTCGGTAGAATAAGGGTTGTCTGGACCACATTCTTCCTCACTCGATCACGGATCCTTAAACGTTCATTATCTCACTAATTTTGCATAGAATTAATGGTTTCAGAAATCATCTGATCTTGTGATTGACAGGTCCGGGGACAGTTCTCTGTGATCATATGAGTTACATTTTCATGTTCCTCTCAGTTGCTACATCAAATCTGGTCGCCACTTCTCTTGCCAAACAGGTTGATGTCCTTGAAACGCCTGTGTTTTAAGTTCATTGGGTTTTGAGAGTATTTGTCTGTTGCAAGAACTCTGTATTTGTGTTGGGGCAGGATAAGGACGAGGCACAGCATCAGATTTCTGTCTTACTCTTCATTGGCTTGGCATGTGGATTATTGATGCTTTTGTTCACTAAATTGTTTGGCACTTGGGCCGTAACTGGTAATTTGGAACCATTAACCTTCCCATTCTTATGCAATGAAATCTGAGTTTGTCCACGTTGAGAAAAATATTTGCATTTTTCAGCTTTTACCCGAGGAAAGAACATCGACATTGTCCCTGCAGCAAATACATACATCCAGGTTCTTAAGCTCTTCTGTCATGTGTTTATCCATGTTCCTGGTTTCATTTTTAATCATGTCTCGATCATTGCTTGTTTCTGCAATTGGGCTATAAAGAAACTTTTGAGTTAAGACTGATGATGTTCTTGCACAATTTTCTTTTCCCAGATTCGGGCCTTGGCTTGGCCGGCTATTCTTGTCGGATTGGTTGCTCAGAGTGCAAGGTTCTGATATTCCCTCTATCTCAATTCGATGCTTTACAACTTCTGAAGTCCAATATCTTGCATATATAGACTGGTTAGTACGTTTACCTTGGCTAAGATTTCTCCGAACTTTGCTTCAGTCTGGGAATGAAAAACTCATGGGGACCTCTGAAAGCGTTGGCGGCTGCCACAGTCATAAATGGCCTTGGTGATATAATCCTATGCTTGTTTTTTGGACAAGGTATCGCCGGAGCAGCGTGGGCAACCGCAGTTTCTCAAGTATTGCTATGAACACATTTCATCTGTTTCTTGCTAAAAAAAATCATTTTCTATATGCATTTGGATGTGTAAACAATCATGTAAATGTGTTTGTGTGTTAGATTGTGTCGGCCTATATGATGATGGATTCTCTCAACAAAGAAGGGTACAATGCCTTCGCCTTTGCTGTTCCTTCGACGCAAGAGCTCTGGAGAATCTCTGCCCTTGCCGCGCCAGTCCTGGTGTCCATTTTCTCGAAGGTTGCTTTCTACTCTTTCATCATATACTGTGCCACTTCCATGGGTACTCACGTTCTTGCTGCTCATCAGGTAAATAGATATTGATTTCCAGTTTCTGCGATCTTTTTCACCGACCTTTTATTCTATGAATTCGAACTGTCATACCAAAGATGTAAATAAAATTCATAAGCAATTGCACGGCGGTGGCTGACGAACAGCTGAACGATACACACAAATTAATAGGTTATGGCTCAGATGTTCCGGATGTGCAATGTGTGGGGGGAACCCCTCTCTCAAACGGCCCAGTCTTTCATGCCCGAGTTGTTATACGGGGTGAAACGGAATCTTTCCAAGGTTGGAATTCGACGTCAATGATGGGACATTCATTTTCTAAGTCAGTATTGGTTCTGAATTCGTGAAAATGTGCAGGCAAGAACGCTGCTCAAGTCCCTTATGATAATCGGGGCAACGCTGGGAGTTGTACTAGGGGTCATCGGAGCATCTGTCCCTGGTCTGTTTCCCGGCATCTACACTCGTGATGGAATTGTCATTCATGAGGTCAGTTCCTTCTCTCGCATTTTAAGTCACATTGTTTATGTTTCTCTACATCCCCGGGAATCTTGATTTTTCTCCTCAAATTTATAGATCCAAGTAGTTAGCTTATTAGCTGATAATGATCTATCTTGTATGAATGTGGAGCAGATGCACAGGGTATTGATACCGTTTTTCTTGGCGTTATCTGCAATGCCGAGCGCAGTGAGCCTGGAAGGCACTTTGCTGGTAAACCTCTTTGATCATAAAACCCTCTAATCCTTTGGTAGTCTGTAAAAGCCAGTTGCTATATTTCCCCTAATGGACTCGGAATCTCTGTAAATGTTAAATGTGTGAAGGCGGGACGTGACCTCAAGTTCGTAAGCTCGGTGATGAGCGCAAGCTTCGTCCTCGGCTGTCTTATACTAACTGTATGATTCTCGGACAGAACATCCTCAGAGTGTTACGAGCTGAACTCTTATGATATAGTTACAATAATAATGTTGTTGGTTTTGGTTGTTGACAGTTGGTGACAAGAAACGGCTTCGGCTTGGTAGGCTGCTGGTTCGTCCTCGTTGGATTTCAGTGGGTATGATCATTTCCCAACCACCAGATGAATCTAAACTCGTTTTTGTCTTTGCCCTTATCAATGTTTTTGTGTCGGCAGGGACGGTTTCTTCTGTACCTTGGACGCCTACTTTCCCCGGACGGCTTACTATATTCCCATACTTTTAATCAGTATACAATGGAGAAGATTTAATCTTTCATATATATATATATACACACACACACGATATTGGGTTTTTATTTGTTGCTATTATCAAATCCATTATATATTTATATATATATATATATATATATATATATTTGAATTTTGGCAACATAAACCCACCTACTGCACCACTAATCTAGTTTTGGAAATATAGATTCTGCCCTCCTCCTTGTATTTTCTCTGCGATAATGGAAAATACAAACTTTTAATACCTTAGTTTCGGTGCAAACACACTGCCAAGAACGAGTTGGAAACATCTAATCTAAACATTCCCCACATTGAAATCATTTTAGACTCCAACCCAGAAACTGTTATAACTTGGTCGTACAATAATACCATGTGATAATATGTAGCACTCGGCTGTCCTGTGAATGTGAATGATGACATTTTTGTCCTTCTCGCGATTCGGGTCTCTGCTTCTCATTAATGCATGAGTGAACAATTTCAGAATACAGTTAAAATATGGTCTACTTGGTCATTTCTTTTTTTTTTTAAATTATAAAATAATACATTATGAATTTATCAATCAATTGATTTGTAACCGTAACTAAAATTTAATATGGACCCCCACTAGAACTAATGAAATAATATAATTCATGGACCAACTTCTTTTCTCCGATGTACACATTTTAAATTCGGACCATTGCAAAAGGTCAGTACAAAAATATAAAAAAATAATTCCCTAATTGAAAAATGAGAGAATCGGAATATCGTCCACCCGAATGAATAGCCATGAGAGCTACCACCGATGGGGGCCATACATTTTTTGACCACTCGTCATCTGGTCCCACCTACCACCATCATGATTCATTCGAAAAATCTCCATTTCACCACGTGTTTTTTTTTACTTTTACCAAGTCATTATTACATTTTCTCTCTTTTCTTTGTTATGTGGTTGGGTTGATTTTTTTTTACATCTTCTCTGTTTTGATTATATTTTTTGAAATCTCCATTCCAACTTTGTAATGAAACGAAGTTGTGGCTTGCGTGTCTACTTCCAATATCTTAGACGTTACGGTAATCTTGAATTCATCGAATCGGTCTTGAATGTCCGATTACCGGTTCGGTTTGTTCCAATTTGTGTTTCCGGTTTCATCGCACCGGACCGGACAGATGTCTGCATCTATTTAAGAGTGAGAGGGCAGGAGCCGCACCCAAACGGTTAAAACTGCTATTTCTCTGTTCCTCCTGCTCTGTTTTGTCATCCACAAACCACGGAGGAGGAGGAGGAATTGAGGAGAAAAATGCAGATTCAAAGCAAAAGCTGCAAAACCCTAAAGTTAACCGCTTTACTCCCTTCTCCACAAAACCCTAATCTCAGAAGAACCCCATTTCGTTCATCCATCAGTTTCGGCGAACCGAAGCGGCCGTACCCGAGGCTTCGAGGCTCTCAATACGGGCCAAAGTTCCTCCGAGTCGTGAACTCGAGCCGGGAACTCATAATCGAGAGAGAAACCGAGGGCGATGCCGTTTCGATACCTCAGGGGAGCGAAGAAATCAATGAAATGGAAGAACAGGAGAAGGAGGGGTTGGAGAGTGAAAGCATGTGGGGACAGATAAAGGAGATAGTGGTGTTCACAGGACCTGCGGTGGGGATGTGGGTGTGTGGTCCGTTGATGAGTCTCATCGACACTGCCGTCATCGGCCAAGGAAGCTCCCTCGAGCTCGCCGCTTTAGGTACTTTATGAATATACATAGCCATGTCTCTTAGAATCTCTGTTTGGCTGACGGGAAAATCTGGGGGTTGATTAGGGTTTCTGGGTTCGTTAGGGATTCGAGTAACACTAATCGGAGAGTGGAAACCCATGAACAGGTCCTGGAACAGTGCTTTGTGATAATCTGTGTTATACTTTCATGTTCCTCTCCGTCGCCACTTCCAACTTGGTCGCCACCTCTCTTGCTCGCCAGGTTTGTCTGTTTTTTTTTTTCCTATTTATTTATCATAAGTAATAATGTTTTTCCAATATAAGAAATTGGCTTTTGATAGATAGATAGATAGATAGCAATTTGATATTCATATGTTTTTCCTTTCCCAGATACAATTTTAATGGGTATATATTTCTTATTATATTAATATAATATATATATATATATATGGGGTATAGGACTCTAGGGAATCTCACACCATCGATTATACGTGTATTTACCAAAAATAATAATAATAACAATAATTATAGTTTAATATAAAAAATAAAAGAACATTTGGAAAAACACAAAACAGGGTTATTGAAAGAAAGAACAAAACGGATTAAGAAGCAAGACATTCAACAAATATGAACTGAGAGATATGTATAAAATGGGGGCAGGACAAAGAGGAAGTGCAGCATCAGATATCGGTGTTGCTGTTCATAGGATTGGCATGTGGGTTCTTCATGTTTTTATTCACCAGACAATTTGGATCATGGGCTCTCACTGGTAAAAACCATCATCCCCCAAGAAAACATCCTGTGATTATCCATTAATATGGCATTGTTAATGCAGCTTTTGCTGGGGCAAAGAATCTGGATCTTCTGCCTGCAGCCAATACTTATGTTCAGGTTCCATTAATTTCTCCATCTTGTTTGTTATTTTGACATTTTCTGATATTCCTGCCTTCTGTGGATCTTAACATCTGCAGTTGCACACCTTTCTTTTTCATGAATTCCGCCACGACAACCCTTTTGTTCATCTGTGTATGTCAGATTCGTGGATTTGCTTGGCCTGCCGTTCTCATTGGGACAGTTGCTCAAAGCGCAAGGTCCTGTCGTGTGTGTGTGTGTGTGTATAGATATACATTCTCTGAGTTTGTCGTCTATCGGAACATATAGAAAGATTCACCAAATATTAAGAAATTGAATGAGTATCCTACGGAAGATGATACGTATGTGCTAGGAGGCTGGTTCCATTTCAAAGGCATCGATGAATCACTAGCTAAAACCCGAGGTTTCAAAAGAGGATTAGTGAAACAAATGGCTGATAATGAAGTGAAGTTATTGTGTGTAGCCTGGGGATGAAAGATTCGCGCGGACCTCTCAAGGCATTAGCAGTTGCAGCTGCAATCAACGGTGTGGGGGATGTTGTCTTGTGCCGTTTTCTTGGTTGTGGCATCGCTGGTGCAGCTTGGGCTACTATGGTTTCACAAGTAAGCCCTCCTTATCAATTACTCAGTAACTGGAAATGATGATGATGGTGATGATGATGTTATGTATGTAGGTGGTTGCAGCATATATGATGATGGATGCTCTTAACAAGAAAGGATATAACGCCTTCTCCCTCACAGTTCCTTCTCCTTCTGAGCTTCTGACCATCCTCGGACTCGCTGCTCCTGTCTTTGTAACTATGACATCCAAGGTCTCTCTCCCTCTCACATATATATACACTTTCACCGCCATAATATTGTCCTTATAATATATATATATATATATATAGGTGTCTGTCTATGTATCTCCTAAAATAACCTTTTGTGAAAAACTCTGCTCCCTTGTATAATCAGATAGCTTTCTACACACTTCTTGTATATTTTGCGACATCGATGGGCACAAACGTTTTAGCGGCTCATCAGGTGAGATGTTCTCTATGAGTTTTCAGTTTTACTGAGTTTGTTCTCACAAACCAAACCAAACCAAACTAATGGTTGTGTGTTTTTGATAGGTTATGATTCAGGCCTACTGTATGTGTTCTGTCTGGGGAGAGCCTCTCTCTCAGACTGCACAATCCTTTATGCCCGAGTTGTTATACGGTGTTAACCGTAACTTGCCTAAGGTAAGCTCTCTCTCTCTCTCTTTCACTTCTCAAATTATACAAGATATGGTCATCCTTCAAGGTTCTTGGCCTCGTAGAGGCTGCCTGCATATGACATTGATCTTTGTTAGCTGTTAATTAAAGAAATGCTCATTTTTGCTCTGAAGATCGGAATGATGTTCCTAAAACAAAGTTTTTATGCGAGTAGGCAAGAATGCTTCTCAAGTCACTTGCAAGCATTGGAGCTACAGTTGGTTTGGTCGTAGGAACTCTCGGGACAGCGTTTCTGTGGCTGTTTCCGGGCATATTTACGCCTGACAAGGTTGTCGTGAAGGAGGTATTTTCTCTTTCTTCTTCGTCTATACATAGTCCTGAATGCGGTGACTGAAAAAAGTGTATGCAATGTGCGGAAAACACCATGGAAACTTCTTTGGTATGAAAAGTCTAAGCTTGGGTCTTGCAGATGCACAAAGTGCTGATATCGCAGTTTCTTGCCTTAGCCGTGACACCAATTGCTATGAGCTTTGAAGGCACCTTACTGGTACCAAGTTATACCCTTTTTTTTTTGTTTTTTAGAGAAATGATGAACTGTAAGAGAAGTTTTCTGCATAAAGCATCATGAAAGAGGCACTGACAGACACAAGTTATCGAACATCGCAGGCAGGAAGAGATCTGAGATACATGAGTATATCAATGAGTGGATGCTTTGTCTCAGCAGGGCTTCTACTAATGGTACGTATACAACACAATATTCTCATTCATCTCTATCCCCCCCCCCACCCCACAATTATGAATCAGTAGGTTTTCTTAAATTCACTCTTCTGTATATATATATATAGCTTCTGAGCAATCGAGGATATGGCTTGCAAGGCTGCTGGTTCACCCTCGTCGGCTTCCTATGGGTATAAAATCCAAAACTTTTTCTTTCAGAAAGAAGTGTATGAGATTCAATGTTTTAAATTGTCTACAACATGCAAAAGCTGAATCAACAAATGCAAGATCCATATAGTAATGGTAAGGGAGTGTAAACATGAGATTTCTTATGATGTCATCAGGCAAGGTTCTTTCTGTCTCTTGGACGGCTTCTTTCACGGGATGGCGTCCTCTATGTTTCAGATGCTCCATCCATAGCGTGAGGGTCCTCTCTCTCTCCCCCCCTATGCTTCGGACAACCAACGACCGTATCCTACTTCATGTTTTCCTTTTTTTTTTGGGAGATGTGCGTTCCCATGCGTAACCTTCTCGAACGTATATGTATACGCATGGTTTTTGACGACAATCTAGTGAAGGATGGATGGCATTTGATCGAACGCAGCTTTGTCATTGTGTCCCATTTTGCCCAAGAACCATAACATACGTCACGTTCTATATATATGTGTGTATATATTTTGAATGTATCAACGTGTGGAAGAGAGAATTAGGGAACTAGAAGAAAATAAGGAAGAGAAAAATGATTCGGGTTTGTTTCCTTTCAGAGAAGATAGGCAGACCACTTGATCAGATGCCAAGTTGCTTGCAGCTCCCACACCACACACCCCACTTGGACTCCTCTCTAGTCGCTTAATCTCCCCTCTTCTTTTCACATTTTCGTATATAGATCTTAATTCAATTGTTAACCGTTTTTTTTTTAAAAAATTGAAATTGGATTCTTTTTTTTTCCTTAGTTTATGAATTGAGCGGTTTAAAATATATCATATTCAACATTTTAAAATATATAAAACAAAACACAATTTATTTATTGCATTCGTGCTTCTTTTACTAATAATTGGGCTTTGAGAGTCACGTGGTTATGTCCGGCAGAAATGGACAGACCCAAACACGGCATAAGTCAAGTAACCGACCATTGTCTGTAATCACATTATTGTTTGATTTTGGTTCGGTCTGTTTAACCGTATGACCCGTTAACCGAATGCTCACAAAAGGGAAGAGAGGCGGGTCACTGTGAACACCTTTGGAGCTGGTCGTTTATCTGTCTGTTGTATTCCGGAAATCTCTCTCTCTCTCTCTCTCTCTCTCTCTCTCTCTCGTGTTTTCCGTATAGAGGTGAAGAGAAGTGAAATGCAAGTTCAAACCAGAACCCCAACTCTAACGTTATCTTCCATTTCTTCTCTGCAAAACCCTAACCCCAAGCTCCCATTCCGATCTTCAATCAGCTTTCGCCAATGGAACTCGCCGTTTCTGAGCTTCCGGAGCTCTGCTTCCGCTGCAAAGTTCCCCCCGTTGAACCGGTTCGTCAGAAACTGCGCAACTCCGAATCAAGAACTTGTTGTTCTTGACGGAGGCAGCGAGAACGGAACGATTTCTCCGCCGAGCGAAGTGATGGCTGCAGAAGCTGAAGCAGATGGGGTCAAGGCGGACGATTTGGCGAATCAGAGTATTTGGGGTCAGATGAAGGAGATCGTCATGTTCACCGGTCCCGCGGCGGGGCTATGGCTCTGTGGCCCGTTGATGAGTCTCATTGACACGGCGGTGATCGGCCAAGGGAGCTCCATCGAACTCGCCGCTTTAGGTATGTATATATACATCACAGAATCTGCATTAGTTATCGAACACTTGGTTGCTTTGATGATTATTGGTTCTCTGTTTGATTAGCATGAAGATGCTGGAAAGAAAGAAAAAAAGATATTGTTGTTTTGTGTAAGATGCCTTTTCAAGCAGGGTAGTTCCCTCGCTCGCTTGTCAAATTGGAGGGGGGGGGGGGG